GAAGCTACACTGCCACTATTTCAAGTACCAGCAGGGTCTCCCATGGTAGGCAGGCATCAGCAGAACTTCCAAGTTCAGACAGACGAGGGAGAAGGCCAATCTACTTTTGAAAAAATTGGCCACTAAAAGTCTTAAGAATAGCAGTGAATCATGATCTGATCTAAGAGATCACAGTTCACTGCTATTCTTAAGACTTTTAGTGGCCACGTTTTTTTTTGTTTTGTTTTGTTTTGTTTTGTTTTTTTAAAGTAGATTGTGAGACTTGTCTCCCTAGTCTGGGAATAACCCTGAGAAGAATGGGAATTCCAGAACACTTTGTTGTGCTCATGAGGAACTTGTACACGGAACAAGAGGCAGCTGTGCGAACAGGACAGGGGAACACTGCCTGGTTTAAAATCAGGAAAGGTGTGCGTCAGAGTTGTAGCCTCTCAGCATACTTGTTCAAGCTGTATGCTGGGTAGATCATCAGAGAAGCTGGATTAGATGAAGAAGAATGTGGCATCAATCAGGATTGGAGGAAGGCTTATTAACAACCTATGGTATGCAGATGAGACAGCCTTGCTTGCTGAAAGTGAGGAGGAATTAAAGCACTTGCTGACAAAGATCAAGAATTATAGCCTTCAGTATGGATTACAATTCAATGCAAAGACGACCCAGATCCTCACAACTGGACCAATAGGTCACATCATGATAAATGGAGAAAAAGTTGAAGTTGTCCAAGGTGTTGTCTTGCTTGGACTCACAATCAGTGTTCCTGGAAGCAGCAGTCAAGAGATCAAAAGATGTGCTGCATTAGGTAACTATGCTGCACAAGCCCTCTTTAGAGTATTGAAGAGCAAGAATGTTACTTTGAGGCCTAAGGTGCACCTGACCCAAACCATGGTGTTTTCCATGGCCCCATACACATAGGAAAGTTGGACACTGAATAAGGAAGACCATGGAAGAATCAATACATTTGGATTGTGGTGCTGGGGAAGAATATTGAAAATACCATGGACTGCTAAAAGGACAAACCAACCTGTACTGGAAGAAGTACAGCCAGAGTGCTCCTTAGAGGCAAGGATGGTGAGATGCCGTCGTATATGTTTTAGACATGTTGTCAGGAGAGAATTCCCTGAAGAGGGCAGCGGAAAAGAGGAAGGTCCTCTACGAGAGGGATGGACACAGTGGCTGCATCACAGCAATGGGCTTAGCACAGTCACAATTGGGAGGACGGTGCGAGACCGTGCAGTGTTTCCGGCTGTTGTGCCCGGGGTCGCTGTGGGTCGAAGCCGACTGGACAGCAGCTAACAACCACAACAACAACATGATCCGATAGAGCGCTTGAAGATGGGCCCTCCGGGTGGGAAAGCCCTCAAACTATGATTGAGGAAGGTCTGGCTGCCTTCTCAAGGTTGTCCACAGGTGGCAGTTGCATAATCTACTGTCAACTTGAGAGAAGGGGTGGGCTCTTGCCTGTCAATCAGATCATAGCCAATGAGGCCTCTGTGTGGGCATGGCCTTCTCCTGAGGAGTCTGAGAACTCCTTCCTGTCTTCCTCCCTGGAGGCGGGACACACACTCTCCCAGTGAGACATTCCTGTTGACAAGCCACATGGAGACACACTGATGGCAGCCAGAGCCCTGGAGCTGGAGAAGCCACGTGGAGACCCATGCCAGCGCTGAGATGCTTCCACTGCCACTGGATCTAACAGACTTTCCACTACTGGTCTGTGATCTTCCTGCATTTGGCACCATTGCATGTGGTGCGTGAGTCTGGTATATAGACTGGTATCAGGCATATGGACTAATATCAGACTTATGGACTTGAGTTAGACTGGGCTGGGATGTTTTCTCAATAAACAGTTGCTCTTTGATATAAAGTTGTGTTAGTCTGGGCAACAAATCCAGGAGAAATCTAGAGAAACAAATCCAGGGAGACTTATATGTGTATAAGAGATAGCTTTATAAATAAGAGTAATTGAATATTGAGAAAACATCCCAGCCCAGTCCAGATTAAGTCCATCAGCCCATTATTAGCCCATATGTCTGATACCAATCTATAAATTCCTCTTCAGACCTAGGAAACACATGCAATGATGCCAAATTCAGGAAGATCACAGGCCAGTAGGTGGCAAGTCTTATAGATTTAGTGGCGATGGAAGCTTCTCAGCGCTGGCATGGGTCTCCACATGGCTTCTCCAGCTTCCAGGCTCTGGCTGCATCAGCGTAGCTCCATCAGGCTATCTTGCAGCAGTGAGCACGTGTCCTGCCTCCAACGAGCTATTTATCTCCTTAGCTCCTCCAAATGAGGTCATCAAGCTGCGACCTTGTTGACAGGCTACACTTTACCCCTTCACTCTTAAGTCTCAGATTGACAACAGATCATGTAACTACTACAAAAGTCCTCTCTTACACACATATGAGTCTCCCTGTAGTTGTTTCTCTAGTCTACCCAGACTACCTCAATCATGTGGGTGGAGTAGAATCTTCATTTGCTGATGTGGCACAACACAAAAGGAGAAGAAGCACCCATTCCTCAGCGTGTGGACTGTACCAAGTATGAGTCTAGGAAAAGTGGAAGCCATCACAAATGAGAGGGACGATCAAGAGATCGATATCTGTGTCATGAGTGACCTGGGATGGACTGGGAGTTGGAGAAGGATGACCCTGTCTGGGGTCTACTATGCCGGAAATGTCTCAACAGAGAGGAAAGACATCAGGTTCGTCATCAAAATGAACATTTCAGGATCTGCACTGAAACACAGGGCTGTCGGTGCTCAGAGAATACCCATCCACCTACACAGAAGGCCAGTTATGAATGATTACTATTCAACTGTACCCACCAAACAGTCATGCCCCAAATGAAGCAATGGAAGAATCCTCCAAACTTCTGCTGTCTGGACAGGCTGTAATTGATCCCTCATGCAATCAAGATGATGGTTACTGAATACATGATAATTACTGATGATTAGAATCAGTGAGGCAGGATCAATAGTTGGAAAATGTAGCCCTGCTGAGACATGAAAGCAATGCCAGAGATCACATGATGGAATTTCACACGACCAGCCTTCATTGCAGATACCTGTTTTCCTCCAACAGCCACGGGAACTATACACATGGACCTTGCAGGAAAGAAGACAGAGGGATCGAACCCACTGCATCTAGAAAGAAACAACGGAGAAGCTCCGTGTCATCAGTCAGAACAAGGCCGGGGCCACCTGTGGAACAGACCACCGATTGCTCATCCGCAAGTTCAACTTCAAGCTGGGGCACGAGAACAGCACCATAGTGTTGAGCTTGCTCCACCTGGATTTCGAGACCAGCACAAGAACAGACTTCAGCTCCTCTTTTGTCCCGCCTCCCCACCCCCGTAACCCCTTGATAAATTATAAATCATTATTATTTTCACATCTTACACCGGCCGCTGTCTCCCTTCCCCCATGGTTTCTGCTGAACTGATACCAAGGGCTCAATAGACAGTAAATGTCTAGAAAAGAGTGGTGGCAACATATGTACAAATGTGTTTGATACAATTGATATATGTATTGTTATAAGAGTTGTTAAGAGGTCCCAATAAAATGATCTTTTAATAAAATTTTAAAAAAATAGATTTCACTCACTGGCCAGCTGTGGGATGACATCCAGGCCACCATACAGGAAAGAAAAAAGTCATTCAAAACACAGGAAAAGGAAAAAGAAAAACAGCCACCAAAAGGACTGCTGAACAGGCTCTGAAACTTGCTCTCCAGCAAAGGTATCTAAAGTGAATGGAAGAAATACTTAAGTAGAGGCGAACAGAAGATTTCGAATGACTGAAAAAGACAAAGTTAAGTGCTGTCATGAAATGTGCAAAGACCTGGAGTTAGAAAACCAAAATATCTCACGCTGAAAGCCTGAAGAAAAAAAATCAAGCTTTGAGTTGTAATATTGAAGAATTATATGGGCAAAATATTGCCTGACCCAGGAAGCATCAAAAGAATATGGAAAAATACATAGTCACTGAACCAAAAAGAATGATTGATGTTCAACTGTTTGAGGAGGTAGCACATGCCAAGAACCAATGGTTGATAAACAAGAATCCAGAATTGAGATGTTTCAACAGACTGATTCAATGTGAGAAGCACTCACTCATCAAGAAATTTGGAAGACAACCTGGTTGACTGGCTCGAAGAGATTCATATTCATGCCCATTCCAAAGAAACGTGACCCAACAAAATGAAAAAGAGCGATTGAACTGCATCGTTAATTCCACATGCCAATCTAACTCTGCTAACGATAATTAAGAAACGGCTCCAGCAGTATGACGGAGCAGCCAGAGGTTCAGGCGGACTCAGAAGAGGACATGGAACAAGGGAGATTATGGCTGACGTCAGACGGATGTTGGCTGAAAGCAGAGACGTTCAGAAAGATGGTACCTGTGTTTTATGGACTATGCGAAGGCATTTGTGTGGGTCACAACACATTATGGATAACATTTCGAAGAAGGGGAATTTCAAAACGCCAGATTATTCTCATGCTGAACCTGTACGGAGACCAAAAGGCGCTATGCAGAGAACGAGGGCGCGGTGCATCGTTTTAATCAGGAAAAGTATTCCGCAGGGTGGTATCTTTTCACTGTATCTATTCATTTTGCATGCAAAGTTAGTAATGCAAGAAATCGGACTATGTGGACAATAACCTGGTAACAGGATTTGAGGAAGAGTCCTTAACAACCTGCGATATGCAGACGGCACAATCTTGCTTGCTGAAAGCAAAGAGGACCGGAAGCACTCCCTGATGAAGGAGAAAGACTGCAGCCTCCGGTGTAATTGCACCTCCTCCGAAAGAAACCAGCGCCTGCCTGGGACGGGGGCGGGGCCGTGGGCGGGGCGGGGCGAGGCCCTGAGGAGAGGGCGTGGCCAAGAGTCGGGGTCTGAACCAGAGGGCGTGTTCTCCTGTGAGGGCGTGCCCCAGGGAGGGGGCGCGGCCCAGGGCGCGGCGGGGGCGGGGCGAGGGCGTGTCCTGGGCGGCGCCTGCGCAAGCCGGCCATCCGGTAAGCGGAAGCGCGCTGATTCTGGGCTTTGGGGTCAGCAGCAGCAGGACGGTCGGGAACTTGGGGTTCTGGTACGTGGGAGCCGAGGCGGGCGGGCGGGTTCCGGGGCGGCGGGAGAGGTGCAGCCGCAGAAGTCTGCCTGCAACTCCGCCCGTTTGCTCCAGATCGGAGCCCCGTGTGGGCGGTGGGGGCTCAGGAGTCCCCCAGAGAGGGTCACTTGGGAGGGGCGCACGGAGTCCCCAGAGGGACACTCAGGAGTCAGGGCGGGTGTCACAGAAGGTCTTCCAGAGGGACATTGAGGAGAGGGGGACCCGGAGTCTCCTGAGGCGACACTGAAAAGCAGGGGGTCATAGGTGAGGGACACTCAGGGTGCTGTGTGCACGGGGTGCCCCCAAGGGACACTCGGGAGAGGACAGGACTCCTCCTTAGGGGCACTTGGGAGTGGGGTGCACACGGAGACCCCTGGAGGGACACACAGAAGGGCAGGCGGGGTGGAATGCCTGTGTGTGCAGAATCCTGCTCTCATGGCAGCTCGCCGCTGCCCCTCTGCGGACCCTGCACGCAGTTCACCCTCAGGTACCTGACGGCCCCCTCGGCCTGATCACCAGGTGGCTTGGATTGCGTTTCAGATTTCAGGATAGACAGGTGGGGCTAGTAAGCAGGCTCTGTTCAGACCTACCCTTCCACCTCCGTGCCTGTGAGAGAGAGTGGCCCCCAGGGGGACCCTGGCCTCTGTGCTGCCCCTCACTCTGGAGGGAGAACCAGCACTCCAGAGTCTCTTTACTTGGAGCAAAAACACCTGCGCTGGCACCTTAGTTTGGAGAAAACTCGTGGTGGTGGTGGTGGTGGTGGTGGTGGGGCTCCAGGTACTGCGAGTGTGTCCTCTGAAGGCTTGCACTGGGAACGACTTGTGACCTTTCCGTCCTCAGATTTCACCTCCATGGAGCGCAGAGTCCTTCTCGGCACCCTGCTGTGCAGCCTGGCCCTGTATGGCCTGTGCACCCCCAGCAGCATCCTGAAGATGTGAGTCTGCTGTCAGAGAAGTGTGGGAGTGCCTCACTCAGCTAGGGGGCTACTTGGCCTGCTTTTGGGGGACAGTGAGGCTGCCTGTCACTCTAAGAAGACTTGGGGCTCCTCTGGTTAGGGTTTTTGATGGGGTGTGTGGGATGGAGGCAGGAGTCACCCGGGGCTTGTGGAGACCACAGAGGCAGGGTGGTATAGATGAGCCCAGCAGCTGCTCTGCGGGAGAAAGACCTGGCTCCCAAAAGATAAACAGCCTCGCCCACCGCATGAACAGGTCTTCTCTGCCCCTCAGGTCCCTACGTTGGAATCCACTCAGTGGCGGTGGGTTTGGTTGTGGGTGGGTGGGACAGTGGCTGGTTGTGGGACGGTGTGTGGGGCTGGGCTGTCTAGAGAACAGAACCACTGACCTTGTGTGGGTAAGGACGGGCCTTATATCAAGAAGCAATCTTACACCAAGCAAGTAGCCCAGCCCAGTCCAGCTCCAGTCGGTGGGTCCGAGGCTAGCCGGGCCCTCTTCAGACCCACACAGCTGCAGGCTGATGATGCAGAAAGTGCGGCGGAAAGCCATATAGTCCCAGGTATTCACAGGCCACGGGGCCCAGTCATGTGGACCCAAGGTCAATGGGAACATGACAGGACATCGGCCACTCTCAGGGTCCTGCAGCCCTTGTTGGGCCGCCCCCTAGAGGCAGGCGCAGTGCTCCCAAGCAGGAAGGGCTGGGGCAGAGAGGAAGAGAAATTGTCGCTGTCCCAGGTCACTAGGAATCAGAATTAACTCTGGCAGTGAGTTGGGTTCCCAACCCGCTTGATGAACCCCCAAGAGGCTCATCAGGTTGCATTCACCCAGGGTCGAGTCGATATAAAATATAACTGCTAACGTAGGCAGGCAGTGCAAACCCAGCAGCTGCTCCGTGCAGCAAGGTGAGGCAGTGGGTGCCCGTGAAGACCACCCCAGCCTCTGAAGCTCGGTGTGGGCCCTCCACCGAGTAGGGCCTCGTGGAGTTGGGATGGACAGGTGCAGCAGGGTGTTTGCTCTCCTCCCCCAGGGGCAGCCATGAGTGGAAGAAGCTGATCATGGTGCATCACTGGCCTCCCACTGTGTGCCAGGTGAGCCCCACCTACCCGCCCCCTTCTGATCCGGAGACCATAGGCTGTGCCCCAGCTGCCCTCTGATCGTGTGGTACCTGGGGGCTGTGCCCCCTGCCCCAAGGCCAGCCCACCCTGAGCAAGACAGGGGGGCCAGGCAGCCTCCTTCAGAGCCCAGGACAGCACCTCCTAGTGCCTGCCTTAGCAGGTGTCTCAAGGACCAACTGAGCCCCAGGGAGAGGATTTGGTCAGTGTGCATCATGGGGAGATGGGGTTTGCACCTGGGTTGTTAGCTCCTACCAGAGGACCCAAGCCTGCCCCTTCAATAAGGCCCTGGGCTGACCCTGGCTCTGCCCTCAGGGGGAGCAGAGGCCACCTGCTGGGAGGGGCTTGGTGCAGGGCTAAGTCCTAAGCAAGTGTAGGTGTGCGGTCCTTCCTGAGGCTGTAAGTAGCTGTTGGGTAACTGTGCCCAGTGGAGGTGGGGTGGGGTGGGGAGTGAGGTGACTGGGAAGGGGTGTCAGTGATCTGAGCATCTAGTCTGGGCAGCCTGCTTTTCCCCCTCACCCCCACCCCCATGTCTCCAGGCTCCACCCATCCTCAGACACTGCTGCCTTTGATGGATGGTTTGTTCCTGGGCTGCTGGCTGACTCAGGTGGGAGGGCACCCAACCCGAGGAGCCTCGGGAGAGAGCCCTGGTGTTCTGCTTACGCAGTAGGATCCCAGATGATGTACCTGGCACCTGGTGCAGTTCACACACAGGTGCTGCTGTGGGTCAGGCAACTCGGGGACTGGTGTGTGCTCACACTGCCCCGTCACACTTGGACCAGGCCTGTCAGACCAGTGAAGACTGGGGGCCTCGGCAGACCCCACTGCAGAGTGGCCCTGGGTCCCCTTCCTGACAAGCCCCAAGCCAATCACTACCTTGTATCTGTTCCCAGGAAGGTGGGAACAACTGCAGCAGCCCCCCGGACTACTGGACCATCCATGGACTGTGGTGAGTGGCTCCAGCCGAAGCCCAGGTTTACGGGCACAGTCGGCCTGGGCAGCCGTTGATTGGCTCGGCGAGCATTGTTTGTCTCTGACTCCTAATCATCAGCCCGTTCCTTCTGTTGATCTGTCTCCATGCGAGTCTGTCTCACGGGCCTCTTTGGGGATCCCTGGATTGTACCCAGTGTCTTCATTTGGAGGCAACACAACATGCAAACCTGTGGTCGATGTAGAGGCCTGGTGGTGCCTTCGTTTAAGTGCTTGGCCGTTAACCGAAAGGTCACTGGTTCAAACCCACCAGCCTCGCAGTGGGAGTCTGTGCTATGGAGTCAGCATCCCTAAGGACCACTGTCTCAGAAGCCCCCCTGGGCGGGCGGGTCTCTGGCAATGGGCTATGTCACATACGTGTGTCATACGTGCATATGTGTGGCATGTACACCTGCTATCCGTCACATGTGCACACGTGGCCGTGCTCTAGGCAGCCCCTGGGCCAGGCCTGTCCTTCACTAACCAGAAGGGTGGGAACGCAAGTTGCCCACGGACCCAGGCGGTCCACCTCAGAAACACGAGCCGTGGAGGCCCTGAGAGCCCTGTTCTCGGGACACACTTGGGTGGCCGTGGTCAGCGGGAGCTGGTCAGCGGGAGCGGGGCTGGCCGAGTGGAGATGTGTCTGCTGCCCAGGCTGACTTCTCCCCTCCTGTCCATTCCCAGGCCTGACAAAGGGGAAGAGTGTAACCGGTCCTGGCCCTTTCGTTTAGAAGAGATTAAGGTACGGGCAGCGGCACCGTGTCCTCCCCTGGTTCCCCTCCAGAGCCATGGCCAGTCAACCTTGGGCCTCCCGGCTACTGCTCCCGGAGCACCTCACTGTTAAAGAACGGATGCGTTCAAAAGGAAAAATGGGCTGGGGCCCAAGCCAGCCCCAAGGGGACTCCTGGAGGTGCACCCACATGGGTGCAGAGAGTGGGCTCCGGTCCTGCCCTCTCCGGCCCCTGGCCGAGCCTGAGAGCCCGGTGGGAGCGGGCACCTCCCGGCAACTGTGGGGTCAGCATGCTGGCTTTTCCCTAGGGGCAGCTGGGTGGGTTTCTAGTGGGAACCTTAGGAGAGACGGAAATGACTTGGCTCTGAGTTCCCTAATTCTGCGATAG